TTATTATAACAAAAAATTATTAAATTATATATATATATATATATATATATATATATATATATATATATATATATATATATATATATATATGTGAGAAAATCTTTTTACATATCAGAACAATTTTATGAAAATCTATGACAAAGTGTAATTTAGTAAATTTAAGTATTAATTAACTCGATTTTCTAAAAGTATTGCTTAGCCTTGATTAAAATCGAATGAAAATAAGGTTTCATTTACGCACACTAAGCTTTGAGGTCAAAGGACAAAATAAAATCTCTGTAATTCCACCTCTGTCCTATAAAGAGCGCGTAAAAGAAAAAAAAAAAAATAATACCGAAAGAAATACGGAAGAGTAGCAGTGCAATAATCAAGAATTTGTTATTTATGTTTTAAAATGAATTTTCTTTAACCTTACCAATAATTTAAGAATTTAATTTTTTTTATTCTATACGCTTTTATTAAACTTAGTATAATGAATAAATTTGAAGACATTGAGGCATTACGAAAATAAAAATATAGCGCAAAATGTAATTTGTGTTAGATTAAAAATGATTAATGTAAAAAGAAAAACAATTATGTTAAGAGTAAATTTTAGTAAAATTATGGTAAAATATTATTTTATCATTTTTAACGTGAATGAAATAGTTTCATCGTAATTCTGATGGCGCGGGGAAAAAGTTTTGCAGGAAAAAAATAAGAGAAATATTTGTTTTTAAAATAATAAAAACATAAAATAACAACTTATGTTTAATTCTTAATTGAAGTAAGTATTGGGTCTTCTGGAATTTGTAAATAAATTCAGGAAATCAAAGACGCGCGAAAAAAAAAAAAACAAAAGAAAACCCCCGTACCGATGACTTGGAGAAAAGTGCTTTCAAGACAAAAACTGACTGAACGGGAGATATGAAATTAGATTAATATCATAACGCTCTTCCAATATTGAATAGTAGCCAATCGAAGCAAGATATCAAAATAATTTCCTTTTTGTACAACCATACCAAAAATAATCTAACAGTTACTAAAACGAAAAAATAAAATAAAATTCTTTAAAAAAAGGTTCATACCCGAAAACGACATTAGACTTTACATTTTTTAAAATCTTCAAACATTTCTTTATTTAATCAAAGAAAATCTTGTGACCAACAGCAACGGAATTAATTTGAAAATCCCATAGAAAAATTACAAGTAATTTTTTAAAAATATTGAGTGTAGATTATATTTTTCTGTGCATTCTGAAAGAAAATAACGGGTTTTATTAAATTATGTCGGTAGCAATTTTCAAAACACATTTTTTTTTTAGTTTTATTGAATTATTTTTTGTATGATAAAAAAAGTAAGAGATTTATTCATTAATGAAGAAACACTGAAAATTTCGTTTCAATCGAATAATTCCCTAATTTTTGGAAAATATAAAAGTAGGTAGCGAAATTTTTCTTTCATTTCGAAAAAAAAGCATCCATTTTCATGACACAAAATATATATATATATATATATATATATATATATATATATATATATATATATATATATACACACACACATATATATATATATATATGTGAAAATATATATAAATATAAATAAATATGTATAATTATTTATATATTATATACTTTTGGTACTTATTAGAAAGCGCTCAATACCAGAGATAGAGCTAACATATTTGGTTGGATAGATGTGAGTTTGTGAAACCCAGGGTCACAAACTCACATCTATCCAACCAAATATATATATATATATATATATATATATATATATATATATGTCAATAATTTATAATTTGTATCATATCGGGATTATATAATATATATATATATATATATATATATATATATATATATATATATATATATATATATATACAGAGAGAGGAGGGGAGAGGGGGGGGAAAGAGAGAGCTGGAGAGAATTAATACAAATAAAAGGTTTGTCATTTATTGATGCTACCTTCAACATCCTGACTCAGAAATTCCGTCCATTTGTCAGTAGTATATATATATATATATATATATATATATATATATATATATATATATATTACTAATAGTATATATGGGTTGAATAAATAAATTCTTAGTTTCACGCATAATTACTACCTGAATTTTTCACGTAAACTTTCAGTATAATGTTTGATCCACGAGATTAATATTCCCCACTGAATTCAGTGCATTAACACAGAAGAAGATTATGTTGAAAAATAAGCATTCGTTGTGGAAAATAAATGATTTTAGGCGATAAACGTATTCATGTCCCTGTGTCAGAATTTACAGAAATCTTTTCCTTCAACCTCCAAATCTGTGTTGTTATGTATTCCTTTCAACAGACAAAGATTCAGAATTTGATTTTACATATTTTTTCTTTGATCAGAAGATGAAATATTATCATTTCTTTCATTGCTTATATTTAATACGATATTTCGGTTCTCCAGTAGAAATTCTGTGCTATGTGATAATATCGTTATTTTAAAATGACTTTTAATATGATAATACCATGACTTGATATAACTCTTAATATGAAATGTCTTTTAATATGAGATAATATAACTTTAATATGACTTTTGATATGAAAAGACTTTTAATACGAATTTCAAGACTATAATATGACTTCAACATGAAATTACTTTTAATATGATTTTTATATGAAATCACCTTTAATATGAGATAATGGCATGACTTTCATTTTAAAAAAATTGTTCTCAGTGTAAGAACGAAATTTGAGATCGGCCTCCAATTGGGGGCGAGATACGGACAACGACTTGGCCTTTAACCCAAACTGCTAAATTTTTTAATGCGCATTTTTGGCCCAGACAGGTGTCTTAGGAGTTTATTTATTCCTTATGTTTAATTTCAGTAGTTACCATTGCCGCTTTTATAGAAACTAGAACATCAAATATATATGTGTATAAAACATCAAAAAATAATATTGATTAGAAATAATGAAAAAATACTTTTCAAAATAGTCATTATTTTTCTACTCGTGAAATGTAAAATTACGACAGAAAATGTCTTCTTACGGCTAATAATAAAAACTTTAAAGGCTAAGTGTTGTAAAATATACCTCTGCAAATGCAATGTATGTAAGCAATTCAATGTAAACACAAGGAATAACATGTAGTGAGTTTAATTTTAACAGATCCCCAAATGGGGCTCATGGCAGGTAATGGGTTAATCATGATCGCCATGCCACTAAGCCATTGTATCTGCTTAATTATCATAGCTTTTTTTTTTTCAGATAAATCAGCGATGGACATGCGCACCTATTTTTTACCTCCCTTATTAATGTTAATTTTCAACCTGGTTGGATGTCATGGATCTCAAAAAAGTGAAGTCTTGAATGCCATCAGTGGTTGTACAGAAAATTATGAATTTCCTAACCAAGCGCACCGGTGGCTGCATTCTGACAGCATTGGGGAGTGCGCCTATATCTGTATGAGAGACAATCTGTGCATGTCAATCAATTACTGTCATCATGACAAGCAGGATGGAGGAATCTGCACATTGAATCAGTGGAGAGCGAATGGTGCTTGTAATTTACTGAAGGAAAAAGTCAACTGCACTTATTATGAAATGGTAAGTAAATAAAGTTAAGTTCAAGGCGAATGGAAAATTAAATATTGCAAGATAATTTCAAATCCCAAAATTATCATTTTGATTTCGATGCTCATTCGTTTCTCCGTGCTATATGAAAAGTACAATTGCTATACTCCTCAAGTGATCTGCCTCTCCATTGTATCTGTGTATATTCCTGTTCTAATTCCATTACCTGTCAAGTCTAACGTCCTTCCAAGAGAGTTTCAGATCTTGTAACCATCACTCCATCCTTATGAAACAGATTGGTCCCAACATTGAACTGGTATAAATTTCTGTTCTCATTCTATTACCTGACAAGTTTAATGTCCTTCCAAGTGAGTTTCAGATCTTGTAACATCAATCGGTCCTTATGATACCGATCTGTTTCTCTGCTGAAAATTCCTGCGCTACTTCCATTATCTGTCAAGTTTAATGTCCTTCCAAGTGAGTTTCAGATCTTGTATCATCAATCCTTCCTATGATGCTGATCTGTCGCTCTACTGAGCTGGTATAAATTCCTGTTCTCCTTCAATTGCTTGTCTAATCACCTTCTAAGAGCGTTTCAGATATTGTAACCATCACCCATCCTTATGATGCTGATTTGTCCCAACATTGAGCTAGTACAAATTCCTGTTCTCATTCCATTACCTGTCATGTCTAACGTCCTTCTAAGAGAGTTTCAGATCATGTAATCGCAAATCGTTCCTTATGATGCTGATCAGTCTTTGTACTGAGCCTGTGTAAATTCCTGTTCTCATTCCATTACCTGTCAAGTTTAATGTCCTCCCAAGAGATTTTCAGACCTTGTAAATATCACGCATTACACAAACCCATTCAGTGGCGTCTTGCTGCCGACTGAAGAGTGTCTGTTCACGTATACGTAGTAAGGTCCAATTTGATCGCTAGTCATTATATATCAACGCTGTGAAAAAGGCGCTCAAGGTATTTAGGATGGCTAGAATAATTCTGGATAGACTTCGTATTTCTTACTACAAATTGATTCGGACTTAGTGAGCAGAGAAATCATTCCACATTGTACTTCCCAGGATAATGGTATGATTTAAGAATGGTTCGTCCTCGATGAAAACCAAGATATTAATCATTGAGTTACTCTGAATATGAAATGTAAGAATATAAAATGTTCCAAGACGTACCTTTTTTCGACTTCTTTGTCAAAAATTCCACTAATTTTCAATGGAGACGGGTCTAGTTCTATTTTCAAAACATAGAAAAGGCGCATAGAATGCCCTGGTAATAATAGTAGATTTACGAAAAAGATGATCTTCTTGACGAAGCAGAATAGTTGAATGGTTAACAATAGTAGCTGCTTCGTCTATTAAGAGGGCTCCTTATAAACCCAAAACACAATCACATTTTAACCAGGTGGGAGGAAACAAGAAAATCCAGTCAAATCTACCGAGCAATCACCCCTATGGGGAGAATTCATTGCTGGCAAGTTTTATTTCCAACGTTTTCTTCTTCTTCTTCTTCTTCTTCTTCTTCTTCTTCTTCTTCTTCTTCTTCTTCTTCTCCCCTCCTCCTCCTCCTCCTTCTTCTTCTCTCCCCTCCTCCTCCTCCTCCTTCTTCTTCTTCTTTCCCCTCCTCCTCCTCCTCCTCCTTCTTCTTCTTCTTCTTCTTCTTCTTCTTCTTCTTCTTCTTCTTCCCTCCTCCTCCTCCTCCTCCTTCTTATTCTTCCTCCTCCTCCTCCTTCCTTCTTCTTCTTCTTCTTCTTCTTCTTCTTCTTCTTCTTCTTCTATGTGCTGCATCCATTGAGGACGTGGGCGATTATGTTTTCCAAAACTACTTATCTCTTGTGGCGCTTAGAAGTTTTTCTTCCTTTGCTAAGGCTCCTGTACCTCAGTTCCGCCACACATTCACACAACCTCATTAGGTAGGTAGCTCGCTGTCGTCCCCTGTCTCTCTTACCCTCAATATACTCTCTAGTTTTTCCAAGACCTCTCTCCTCATTATGTGTCCAAGAAACTTTAGCTGCTTCTTTCTGATTCTGATTTTAAGTGTTCTTTTTCTTGCCATTCTTTTAAGACATTGCTTACTCGAGAGTACGCTATATTAATAAAAAAATCAAACTTCTAAGAACATTCACTATATCATAGTCATATAATAATTCTGCTTGTCCCTCCCTTAGTTAGTTCCTTAGTTCACACGACCGATACTCCCTGTCATGACCTCATCACTAATAGACTATTCTGTTTTGACCGCGTGACAAGATGAAAATAATAGAGACGCTACTTGGTTTCAGTAAAAAAAAAAAAGAAAGAAAGAAAGAAGAAAGAAAGTAGGGAATAGAATTTAATATTAAAAATATAATAATTACCGGTACCGGGTCGTGAATCATTAGGCAGCGGACCACACTGAAAATATAAAAACTTTTTTTTATCCATTTTATTGACTATCGCGGTCTTTTTTTATTGTGTTTTGTCATGCGTGTGATCGAAGAAGACACCTCCCCCCACTCCCTGTGCGTGAAAAAAATGTCTTGCATGACACTGGTCTGTGGCGCAAAAATTTTGGTGACCGCTGTTATAGAAAATACGCTATATCCTATATACATTATAGAGTTGAAGTAGTCGAGACCTGGTAGAAGGAACGCCAGGAGATTGCAGCGAACCTCAAAAGATAAAGGTGTGTTTTCGATCTTCAAGCTTGGTATGAAAATATATGTGATAGCGACAGATGATGATTTATAAGCTGAGTCTAATCTCCGTCTGTATTCAAGGGAGATAACTTATTCTTTCAATAAATGAATAAACAAATTAAAATTATTTTACAGCAAGCTCCTAACCCTTGCAAGAATGGCGGTGACTGGGTTCGAACTCGTTGCGCATGCCGTAATGGTTACACTGGCGAATACTGCGAGAGACGTGTCAAAGGTATGTATAATATTTAATTGCACGTTGGGTGATTTTCTTGCTAATTTCAATAGTTTCAGACAAAACCTGATTGAATTGGGTGCATTCTGGGTAAGACAATAAACTACATCCGACAGCAAGGCCTCTGATCAGGAGGTTTTGAGGAGTATGGGACCATCTTTTAATTGCTGGTGTTCTCAGTTCCACCCAGACCTGGGGTGGTAGCAGCTGTTAGGGTCCCAGCTATGAGCAAATAGTTAACCCCACAAAGGGCTCAAAACATTATGTGTGTATAAAAATAAGTTTTAATACCTTTAATACTTTTTTGCAAAAATCATTACCAGCAATACATTTTTGGAAAAAAATATTATCAACAATAAAAATCTTGTCGGCATTAAATAACCCATTGAGGTTGATATGCCGTAAAACAAAACAAAAAATTTAAATGGGTTTACAAATTAATGGTTTTATTTTGTATTCTTTCATAACATTTTCTATTTTTGTTTAAGTTTTCTTTTTCGTGTTATTTTTCATTTTCTTTCTCGCTTTCCATTTCCTCCTCTTTTCAGTCTTTCTCTTTTTCTTCATATTCTTCTTCCTCTTTTATCTTCGATTTCTTCTCTCTGTGTCTGAATTTATGGGATACAGAGTTATCGCTATTTGCTATCAATCAATGGCCGGATACTATTCGTTTCTGAGGCTACCCGTATACCAGGGCGGCAAACCACATCCAATTAAAAAACGCCTGCCCAACCTGCAGAATTCACCTGTGGTTTATACTGCGGCTAAGCTGAGAGGACTTTAGTTACAGTTGAGAGAGAGCGCATAATCTGGCGTGATTAATTTCTTGATACCCTCGGTCACGATGACTTGTTACTTCATGCTAGCACATCCGTCGACAGCTTCCGAACAGTTTCACCTACACAATTTCACTCACAGTGGTGTGGTTTTTCAAGAACTTTCCAATGGTGGCATCTTCTCCCCATGCCAATATTATCAAGAAGTCAAGACAAATCGACCATGATGATATTCGAAACCCAGTCTCATGGCGTTTGCCATGAAACTTGCTACACGCCCCACTATCGGACTAATATCCTCACTTTCGTTGTTATTGTCACGACGTTTCAACCTTTGTGCCCCTCGTCGATCCAGATAAACATCAGAGAATGTCGGGCACTTCGAAGTGGTGTAATGGTTAACAAGCTTGTCTCGCTAAATCAATTACGGCTGAATAGCGTGTTCGATCCTCACTGGCCTTATGCAATATCTAAGCTACCCTTAGTAAATCATCGAGCACCCCGACGTGGTGCAAATGTTTAGCAAGCTTTTCTTGCTAGAACAATTACAAACAGAGTAGTGAGTTTGAGTACTACATCTGAGCTACGCTTAGAAAATCATCACCAAGAATTTCGAATTGAATTCTTCTGTTTATTATAGAGGCGTATACTCTTCTCGTTCGTCTGTCCATATTTTTAGTACTGCTCAGTTATTTCTCGCCCTGTTTCCACTGTCTAAATCTATCCTAACCTTCTCAAGGATTGAACTCGCTCTCGCTGTGTCTCCAAATTCACGAAACCAACGCTTTTATCCATTAGGCTATTTCCGAGACGTGGAGCGAAAGTAATTGTGAATATTCGGTATATATTAACATGAGGGAATTTAGGGTAGCGTAAAGGCTATCAAAATACCAAAGTAAATCAAGGGCAAGTTACTCCCTATGTCGCATGACACATAAGACAATGATCTATATTTCTTATGCAGTCTTTATTATTAAGTTCTGCCCCGATGGAGGGATTTCCCCCCAGGCAATACTTTTCCCTCGTGAAAGGGTTAGGGTTAGTTCGAGAGGTTTGAGGTAAATCCAAAGCAGGGAAATACTGATTTGACTAGAATATTTTTGGCCTTTGGTTCTGTTATAGTGGAACACACCTATTCTATAGTTAATAGACTCTCCCACCTATAATAAGTAGGAGTAGTAAGAGTAACGTGGAAGTCACTCAGTGAGACGGGTCGGTCAGTCGAGGTCGGACGACAGTTAGTCGGATACTAAAGTAACAGCGACCACAACTAGATTACTCTGCGTTATACCTATTATATCAAGTTCCTAACGTTTTGTACGTCAAACCTATTTTAGGATCGACTTAGTACAAATACAAGCCTCCACTGTGAAATCACTCCACAACAGGTTCCATGTGCACATGAGATTCATACTTGATCCCGGCCTTGGGCTACATTCTGTTCTTGTGAGCGTTAGGATAAATCTCATAATGCAATAATTTTGCCTCAAATTTTCAAATGATTTATTGAAACCCAGTCATTGGTTTTAGTAATTGTGGATTTTTACGGGTCTCCTGTGTTAATCTGACGCTTAATACGTTTCCAAATGATGCCATGCTATTTGCCTATAACCAAGATAAGAGGACTCATAAGCTTCCTAAGGACAGAGCCGGCGTATATCACCCTCAACCATCCGAGCGGAGGGAGCTCGATTGGGGGCCCGGGCAGCGCTTTGTGACTCTCGCTATCTTATCAACATTTGCTTTTTTCTACCTATATTTATATACATTAGAAATTAAACTAATCATTACTGACTATTAAAGGATGAAGCATTTTTGCGGACTTTGACGTTATTCTGTAGTCTTTTTTTTTTCTTGCCCAAATCCATGAATTTGTTTTGCTCATGCTGAGTCTCAAAAGAACACTATATAGAATCCATGATGTTGAAGATGTTAAATTATTTAACTTTTTAAAAAAAAAAACTGAAATAGATTACTGCAAAACATTGATAATTTATTTAAAATTGAATGATCTATTATGACATGTCTCTAATTTGTATTTAGATACATTGTATTTATTTTCGATTTTTCTTGTTGAATTCTTCACCTATATTGCATATGATCAATTATTGTACATATTCAGGTTACAATAAAATTTGGTTTTTATATGAATACTACCTTATGAAAATTGAGATATAGTAGAGTGTGTATGTGGGGCGGGGTCCATGTCATAGATTTGGGGAGCACGGGAGCCTCGCACCGGCCCTGCCTAAGGGCATTAGTCAAAAATGAATGTCCTTGCCAGCGTTTGAAATCGGTTCACTGATTCCATCATAGCTGCCATTAAACGTTAGGTCAGCTGTAACACCTCTGTATAGAAATAAATCCTTGACTTTGCTGCCATATCTGGGATGATGCTACCCAGTCCTTACTATCCAGCGTCAACAGAGTTCAAAAGCGATTACGCTAAATAAATTATTCTCCACACTGCAAACCTTATCCAACAGACAAAACATTGTCAACTTCTCACCATTATATCGTTATTACTATGATAGATATTCAGACGAGTTACATGGCTTCGTTTCACCAGCTCAAACTTTCACAGCTCGAACTCTCCATGCCATATTTACAATGGCAAACCAACTCCATTCCCTTCGTGTTCTTTTGATAATTAACAAGATCCACTCAGTCAGCTTAATTCCCGGGACTGTTACTTTGTGAAACAAAATCCCGAGGGGATACTTCCCTGATAATTAAAATCTTGGTTTCTTTAAGTCCAGGTTAAATTCAGTCAAAATGTTTACTTAGTGCCACCAACTAGGACCATGACAGCTATGATGATATATGATGATGCTGTTGATCATGATAACTAAATACAGAATCAATTAATTTTTATTCGATTTTCTTCCACCATTATTTGCATCTGGTAAGTATCTGAATTTGGCCTTTCGCTTTGAACATCCTTATTCCGCACCCTTTACGAATTACATTCTTTAGTTTCACCAGCTCAGGCATTCAAAACTAGGGAAAACCATGTCATGTTCATGGTGGCAAACCATCCTCATTCCCTTTATGTCATTTTGATGAAAAGCAAGTTCCACTCAGCTTCTTCAGTGGAACAGTTGAAACGCCACTGTTCCATTCCTTATCGGCATCAGCTAGAACATTCACTGCTAGGACTCGACATGCCATGTTTACGGCGGCAAACCAACACATTCCTTCAGGTTCTTCTGATAAGGAGCAAGTTCGACTCAGACAGCTTCTTCCTTACTGCAACCAGCTCAGAACTTCACAGCTAGGACTCGATATGCCATGTCCCCGATGGCAAACCAACCCCATTCCCTTTGTGATCTTTTGATGAGGAGCAAGTTCCACTCAGACAGCTTCTTCCTTGGAAATGTTACTTTGTGGAACAAACCCCAGAGAGGATACTTTTCCTAACAACTAAAATCTTGGTGCGGGGTAAATTTAGTCAAAATGTTTACTTAGTACCACCAGCTCGAACCTTCACAGATAGGACGCACTATGTCACATTCACGGTGGTAAACTATCGCCATTCCCTTCGTGTTCCTCTGATGAAAAATAAGTTCCACTTAGACAGCTTTTCCCCCAGAAATATTGAAATACCACTGTTCCATTCCTTATTGCAACCAGCTCGGACCTTAACAGCTAGAACTCTCCATGTCATGTTCATGATGGCAAATCAACCCCGTTCTCTTCGTGTTCTTTTGATAAGGAACAAGTTCCTCTCAGACAGCTTCTTCCCCGGAACTATTACTTTGTGGAACAAACTCCCGAGAGGATGTTTTCCTGTCAACTACAATCTTGGTCTCTTTAATGCCAGGGTCAACTGATATCTATCTTACACGTCCTCATAATATGCATTTCTTACTTTCTCCTTCCCTTTCCCTTACAACAATCTCACTTGGTAAGACTTTACTTTGGATAACCGTTTGGCCTTATATTGGGCAAACTTTTCTTAATTATTTTCTTATTCGTTTAATTCACAGACTGTGAAGAGATTTACTTGCAAGGTGGCCGTGAGGATAAGATCTACAAGATACAACCAATGAACATGAGCAAACCAACAGATGTCTTCTGCATGATGTCACGTGAAGGACATATGGTCTTCCAGATTCGTACCGATAAGAACTGCGAACGTGAAGATTTCTTCAGGGGTTGGCAAGATTACCAGACAGGGTTCGGGAGCAAGGACTGCGACTATTGGTTAGGCAATGATGTACTGCACGCCGTCACCAATCAGGTAAGGAACTCGTGTGACTAAGCTACCTGTAGGATGTGCGTTGTGTTGTAATGGATCTCGGCTCGGGGGCAGAAATCGGAGAGCCGAGTTCGAATTCCTGTCGAGTTTGTTACATTCACTTCCGCGCAAATATTTTTCGATAATGTACGACCCCATCTCTTCTCCCCACCCTAGTTATAGCGATTTTCTAAGCTTCTTAGATTTTCTTAGGTGTGGCACAAGGCTGAAAATATGAGGCCCCCAGTGAGGATCGAAGTCACTATTCAGTCGTAATTGATCGAACGAGACAAACTTGTTAACCATTACACCATGTAGATGTGCCCCTCCTCACTCCATAGCAGGGTTCTATAGCCTTAGAAAGAAACGGCAATCTATGATGGGAAAATCTTCTGCCGAGTCAATCATAAATCGAAAGAGACATGATCACCCAAGCGTGTATTGCGTATGACACTTAATTAACTGACAATAATTACTTGGACTAATATCCTCATCTTTGCTGTACTGAACACTACATTTTGACTTAAGCATTCCGCATCTTTCTTATTCTTGTCTGGAGTTCTGAAATGAAGTATTATTATTTATCCATAAATAATTCGGACAAGTAAGTTTCTTTTTTGTTGTATAACTACTACTTTTCAGCCGATGAACTCTCGAGCTCTCCTCAGTATCTGAAACCTTGAAATGAAGTATTATTCTATAAATTATTCGAACTCGTATCTGGGTCCTGTAGCCTTGTTTGGTAACCAGTCTACAGTAGAAAGAAACGGCAACCCAATGCGAGAAAATCTTCTGCTTAGTCAGTCATGAATCGAAAGAGTCATGATCGACCTAGTGTGTATTACGTATGGCACTTAGCAGACTGACTGAAACTAGTTGCCTGTTTCCCCCGCTGACATAAGCGATTGGTGTTCGAACCCAGGTTAAAATCAGTATTGCCAATGCTGCTTTTCAAAGCTGGAAATCATACCCTTCGTTTAAGTAAAATAATTTAGCAATGCCTATAATAACGTTGTTCTATCTGTAATGCTCAGTTTAATTCATTAGTTTTTAGCGTTTTCTTCCCCCGGGGGTACTTTTCAGATAGTTTAGCAGGTTGTCCACCACCATTAGAAGTAATCTAACATTTCATATGTTTACGTTCTGTTGAATTATAGCAACTCCAATCACTAGGAGCTAAAGAGTGGCGGGAAAAGCCAAGCAGCAGTCACCAGGTCAGATCATAGAATTTGTCGCACTTTAGCTTCCAGATTTGGTTTTTGCGCCATATACATATCGCAATTGCAACAAAATGTTTAAAATTAGACTAAAACATAAATACATAGACAAAGGGTTTACAAATCTGTATATAAAAATGCAGAAATTAAAAATATTTAATAATATGTATATGTATATTCATCTAAACTATGCTAAAATCCATTCCAAAACAGTGTCGGCATTAAATGACCCAGTGAGGTTGATATGCCGTAAAAAAAACAACAACTAACTAATCTCCTAATATTTGGAATACGGGGGAGATGAGGAGTATACAACTCCGTGGAAGTAGCATGGCTTGTCATAGCTACGGAATTCTGAACTGGTGGAACTAAAGAATGGAACTAAAATTATTTTTCTTGTTACATATATTAGCGAAACATGTCAAAGTCGATAGTATTAAACAGCTAAGTAAATATATTTTTTTTTGTTTTTCAGGCGAAGTACGATTTGGAAATCCGAGTTGGGGACTATATTGTCACCTACAGCCATTTTCGAATCGACAGCGAAGAAAATCTCTACAGAATGCACTATGATACATTCGAACCTTCAGATCCACGTCTTGGAAACGGTTTTGCACCTGAAGACAAGCAACAAGCGCTTAACGGTCAGCCTTTTGCCACTCCGGACAAGGATGAATACGGATGTGCTCTGGACTCTCGTTCTGCCTGGTGGTTCGGACCGGGTTGTGCATCAGTCAATTTGAATTTACCTATGGGGACATACAAGCAATTCTACCCCTTGTCTAGACCAGTTAGTTGGCCTTTCAATGGTCTCATCACCGAAGTTAGTCACACGACTATGGCCTTGAAACCATCACGGAAGTAATAAATGAAATTCAAACTGTGGCTCCAAGCGGACAAAAAGGAATGCGTTTGCATGCGAGGCACTTAAATTAGACTATGTATTAATTTTAAACAAATAAACTCAGAAAAAAACTGATTGCTTTGTCAGCCATTATTAATTTTTGTTTAGTATTTCTTTCATTTCAGTTGCTTTATTTACACTTGTAGTAATATTATCTTAAATTTTTATTGGATGAAGCATTGTCAACCATTATTCATTTTTGACCAGTATTTCTTTCATCTTCATTTCACTTGCTTTATTTACACTTGTAGTAATATTATCTTGAATTTTTTTTAGCTGAAGCATTATCAATTATTATTCATTTTTGGCTAGTATTTTTTTAATCTTCATTTTAATTGCTTTATTAATATTTGTCATAGTATTATCTTGAATTTTTATTAGATAAAGCATTGTCAAGCAATACCCGTCAATCATTAATTTTTCACAAATATTTATTTCATTTTAATGTGTACCGTCTTACTTTAAGAAGTTTTATTGGTTAATAAATATATTTTATTGGTTAATAAATATATTTTCCAATTTTTAATATCGATTTTTAGGATGTGGGCCTTCATTTTTTTTAGTATACGACACAGGAATGGTTGTCTGCTTTTTCAAAGCTTTAATGACCTGTATTCATACTTTTTATAAGGTTTGTATAACGCTCATAATTTCTGGTTAGTAAAACTGTAAGGAAAACACTGGATATAAAAAAAACTTTGATTGAAGAATGATTTAATCAATAGGAAATATGAATTGAGAATACAGTAGTTCAGTGCGACAAGCGTACGACTGAAAAATCGCTGCGCCTTTGCGATCCACTCTTTATCACTGTTTCAGGAGTAGACGTTCTACTCATATCGGATGGACAAGTCCACCTTTTAATAATAAGTGTAGAAAAGGTTAGTCAGTATTTCTACACAACAATACTTATTGTTATTGCAATATTCTGTTAAAGTTGTTAAGCGCAATATTTAACGTTACAATAGAGGAATTTCTACGGGTAACGTATAGTTGTAGAACTGGCAAGAAGCATATTTAATAATTAAATTAAAAATTATGATTTATCCGAAAATTCAAATAGTGAGATTTTCACGGGTACTGCTCGTTATTATTAATTTCTGACCTGTACTTTCATCTTATTTTTATTCTGACCCCAAGCAGTACAGTTCGAAAATGAAGAACATGCCTCCTGCGAGATTTGAACTTACATCCTTTCTTGTTGAGAGTAGGTTTAACCATGACAACGTTTTATCATTTAGTCTACGAAAGCTAACTACTAGAAGGTCATTCATATTTAACCATATAGTTATAATATTTTTCTCCAAATGTCATATGCCGCCAGAGTGCTTGTTTACATATGTATAACCAGTTAAAAAATATAGAAAAAAAATCAATAGATTTAAGTAGTATCACTAAGACCTCAATTCTCTTCAAAAGTAGGATATCACTTCAACTCTGTACAAAAATAAAATCACACAAACGTCAAATTCAAATCCACACATTAGCATTTATTGACCAATCAGCGAAGTTATCTCAAACGCCATTCAAGCTTTGAAAAAGCAGACAACCATTCCTGTATCGTATGCTAAAAAAATGAAGGCCCACATCCAGAAAATGTTTAACAGTCTTTTCCCTCCTAAAAATCGATATTAAAAATTGGAAAATATATTTATTAACCAATAAAACTTCTGAGGTTAATGAATCTAACTTTTAATTTCTTGCAATTCGATTTTTTCTGATAAATAGCGTAACGTAAATTAATAAATTAATTTTTCAGTAGATCTTCGGCCGGGGTGTAAATAATACTGAATGCTCAAATTTTGGCATACTCAAATTAATTTATTGAGTACTAGAGTTCCTTTTTGTAAATTATTTCTTGCTTTTAGAGTATTTTCATAAAACAATTTGCTGGGTTTACATTACGAAAATACCCAATCGACACATAAACGGAGTGTAATTGTAAAATCTGTAATGCTACTGATATTAATATGACAATTAATGTTACGCCACACACACACACACACACACACACACACACACACACATATAATATAACGTAAACTGTGTTTTTTTTCCGTGATAATTTCACACATACTGACACAATTTATTTCACTTATATTGCAAAAAGGAAAACAAAACATATTAAGTATGAACTTTGATTGCAAGGAATTTTATAACATTTTTTCTTTCACCTTAAAAGAAAACAAAGATTATTTTTATACTCAATAATGAAAAATATTTAAATGTGTAGAGCTGTGTTTGGAGATTATTTCTTTTCTTCGTTTTTCACACACTTTTTTCTCTATACATGTTTTATTAGAAATCTCTATATGTCTAGAATGTCTTTGAGAAATACCTAAACTCTCATTTTGTATAGAACCGCTTTCTCGGATCAATGATTAAAACGGCTTCGAGCGAATGAAACCTGTATATCTTTGAGAGGACAGTCATTCTTTGTGCATTGTGGACCGATGCTACAGAATCACAAACGAAGAACTGTACCAAATAGCAGAAACTATACCACTTGAGGACTTACAGCAACATCAACAGCTAAAATGGACAGCACAAGTAACTTGAAAAGAAAATGACATAATCCAAATGTTGACATTCCACACTACTTCGAACAAAAATTTAGGGAGGAACCCCCTCCCCAACATTACTGGAATGAGCAACATTGAGAAACGTATTTTCCTGAAAATAGAAAGATTTTATAAATTTCAACCGACAGAGGTACTGGCTGTTCTGTCAATGAATGCCAAATGCTTTCGTGTATGGAAACGGACAATGTTATCCTTACCATTGGATATAATAATTTTCGAATTTCTTAAATGAAGCATTGTCAATTATTATTAATTTTTGCCCAGTGTCTTTTTCATCTTATAAGACATCTAATACTAGTAAAAAAATAAGTAATTGATAGTACTTCATTTTAGATGTCCTATTCCATATAATATTAGAGAGAGAGAGAGAGAGAGAGAGAGAGAGAGAAAAGAGAGAGAGAGAGGGGGAGAGCGAGGATCTTTCTCATTCCATGATGTAGTGTATACGATAGTATTGGCATTATGGTTTGCATTGTAAGTAGGCTGACAGCCTTACGTCCAACCGGTTTTGAATTTAGTCATTCTTCTCCGAGTCAGTTTGACAATCAAGGCTAGAAAGCCTAGTCTGCCTTGCTATTTAACCTATTGCTGATGGGGATGGAGAGAAGATGGGTTCATGTCTTTCTCAAGAGTATTTGTGCGAAAGTAAACACAAAAAATTTAAAGTCGGTATTCTCCCAGCTGTGAGTAAATAGCAGAATGGGGGGGGGTCCTATGGTGTTCGGTGGCAATCAGCCTATGAGAAGGATAATTCTGAATTCAAACCAACTTTTGATTAAATAGCCTCTCCCGCAACTGACCAAATATGGTGATTACGGCTAAACTCCTGAAGACACGGTCAATCAGGACAGACTCGGTCCTGTATTAGATGACAACCGGTCTAGGAGGAGGACAATTCAAAAACCTCTATGAGTTAAATAGCTTTACCAACCAGCAATTGGCCAAACAGGCGTAGTCAGTCATGGAGGGATTCCTCCAACATTGGAATTCCTTTTTAGAAACATGGCTGATATGAACTCTTTCATATGAGTTGATGATGAGAATGAACTCTTGAATATTACCAGTTTGTAGACTGGCCTTATCACACGACATGTGTATAGTTTAAACTATGCTATTATATACCCCGAGGTATGAAATGGGCTAGCTCCAGTCATGGGGGGTTATTCTGAATTAAACTAAACTATGACCGCACCTCCCCACTTTCCTATGAACAGATTGTCATTCAATATCTGTCTATATTTCTGAGATGAGGTATTATGTACATTATTTACATTATTCGAACTATTGTCCTCATCTCGTCGCGATATTTATTACAACGTTTCGGCCCTTGTACGCTCCGGCCGTCTTCAGGTTGGAATGTCGCACTTAACCCTTTATTTCGCTCACTGGGGTAGACTGTTCTAGTTCCACGTGCCATGTTTAATGGATGTCAGTTATCAGTTATCTCCTGTTAATTTCCCTCTGAAAGTTCTCCACTGCCTTAACCGGGTATTGAACTCACACTCTTTGGGTCCTGTCACTGGATCTAACCAACGCCTTTATCCACTGTGCCATGTGTATGAATTTCTGAGTATTATAAACCTAATGTCTTCAGCAACCATTTTTACCAGTGCTCATATTGCAATTTTTTGATGTTATCACATCATGCTTTTACCAGAGCTCATATTGCAAATTTTGTTGTTATTATCGCTTTTCTTTGGCACTTCTTATTACTAGTTCTCATTCTGTATTCATTTCTATGCTTGGTCGGCTCAGGAGATATTTGTGGCCTAACATATGTGCTGATTCCTTAAGTTTACAAATTTTTCAATGGTGTTCCTTGTCTATGATCTCAACCTGATCCCACAGAGGGCGGTGATCTCCCTTCTCTCTCCATATGTGGTCAGCCACGCCTGATTTTTTCACTTCCCTTCGTGTTACAGCTTTCTGGTGGTCTTGAAGCCTTACCTTAAGGGGGCGGCCTGTCTCCCCTTTATATTTCTTTTCGCAGCTGCACGGGATAGCGTACACATAGTCTTTAGTTATGTTCTCCTCTAGGGGGGGGATCTTTCTCGGTAGAGATATCTGCGAAGTGTCGTCAAGCTTTTGAAGATTGTCATTCGTCGGCACTTCTGTTCAGCATCAGAATGTAGTATCTGTGCTCCCCGAAAATACCACCTCACACGCGCTCGTGCGCGCAAACTCACAGAAATAGCCTCACAAATCCGTAATTACAACCATGAAGGCATAGTCAATCAGGGAGGGGTTCCTCTAGCAGGAGTGAAAAATCCCTGGATCTGGACTTGGAATTCTGATACCACTTTCACGTCGATAATTACAACGCTATGCGCGACGTACTTTCCAGGTAATAGAAATTACAAGTTCGCGATGGTTTAAGTGTCTAGAAAACATCTATAAGTGAACAGAGGTTTCGTGAGCTCACCTAGGTATATTTATATTTACCCGCCCTCCACACCAAGGCTAGATGTGACACAAGGTCATTTTAACGTGGGGAGTACCATACACATATTTATGCATATGGGCCAAGGACAAAAATTTGTTTTTACACAGCACCCGCGACCACTGCCACACTGGCACAGGTATTACGCCAACCTAACCTCTTTAGTTCGATGAGGAATGTGCTGCCACAGTGTTGGGATCCTCAGGGTTGAGCAACGCCTTCTGTCTAAAATGAGGAGAATCATAGCCCCACTTACAGCGCAGGGACGTTAACCACGCCCCTGTAAATCCTCATTGACTAATGATGAACTCCTGTGCTCAATTAGTGTATGTAGCAAGATTACATTTTTAAAGTAACAGAATCCACTTGGAATCGATTGCAAGATCACCATGCTAACTACTGTACCTTCACAGATGTTCATTTAAATATAACCGATTCCCAAGAGGATGTTTTTCCGACTACTACAATCTTAACCTGTTCAAGTCCAAGATTAACCGTTATCTTTCCCACATAACCTCATAAACCGCGTCTCTTATCTCTTACTCTTATCGCTCATAGAACAAACATCTTCAGTAACCCTCTACCTTGAGTGGCTCTTGGCCCTTGTATAGGGTAGCATCAGTAAAAAAAATCACGAATAACTATTTAATTACAAAAACAATTTAATTACAAAAAACAAATTTTACATGTGTTTAAAGAAATAAATTTCAACTCATTCTTTTTTACATTTTCAGTTAGAAATTAAGAAAAAATTTAAGTTTTTCTTTTTAAAATAGAAAATGAACATATAAACTTCGACAATTATTTTTCTTCATCAAAAACATTTTCTAAACCTTCAAGGCTGGGCACACAGTTGTGTTGACATCATCAGTAAAAAATATTAAAATGTGGTGTACTTTGTATTTACTGAAGCCTATTTGAAGTATATTTGCTTCGACTTCTCAGATCAGGTAGAGATAAACTCTTACTGGCTATTGATTTACCAATATCTCTACACAGTGGTTGTTGGATTCGAACTCACAGAATCTTTCAAACTGTCTGATGTAGCTTCCGTCATTGGAAGTCTTCAAGTGTGTAGCTTCTTCAGTGAGATGGTTGATTGCGAAACAGTGTTAACTCCTTTGCTTATCGGCGTTCGCTTCTTTTGATTGGACACTACAGACGCAGAATATACAGTTTGGTCAACTCGTTCTGCTTGTCATCATTTACTAATGTGGAAAAACGTTATGGCGTTCTGCTTGATCAGCTGGATTAGCTCGATTAAAGGATGCAACCTGACCAATGTGAGTTGTCGCCTTTTGTGTTCCAGATGTTATATCTTGTCTACCGATGTCCAGAGGATTTATCCCGGCCGCTTTTAAAAGCTGGTCCCATTGACCTTCGCTTTTCATGTCAGAAATAACAGCATCAGAGAAATGTGAACCCTTACGCAGTGCAGCCATAAGTTCTTCATATGTGTGGGGCCCGGTTGGTTGCAGTCTCCTCAACAGTCCGCCGTCATCCAAAGCTTCTTCCAGTCCTTCTCTCTTGTTTGCAATCTCTGTCAGCCAAGCAAGTTTGTCTCTGCCGTGTTCGACCCGGTCATTTGGACTAATCCCAGCTGCACTTAAAAATTGGTCCCATTGACCTTCACTCTTCATATCGGCAATTATTTCTTCATTAAAATGTGAACCCTTACGAAGTGCAAACATAAGTTCAGCGTAAGTGAAGGGTCCAGACTGTTGGAGCCTTGATAAAAGATCACCGTCATCCATTGCTTCTTCTAAGCCTTCACGGGTGTTAACAATTTTGATTAACCAGGCTAATTTTTTTATGTTTGGGCTTACGGTTCCTGTCGGCGAATTGTTATTTGATTGTGTGACACCCGCAACGCCGCTAAGTGTCTGGTTCTTTGGGGCTTCAGTATTTTCCTTCCCAGAGTCAATGATTGATGTCGAAACTAGTGTGGCATTTCCTGAATGTGCACCGCCGGTATTTGGTAAACTATGTCGGGTAAGTCTCATATGGTTTTGTCTGGCGACAATAGCATTATTTGCTGCGCTGTGACTAGACGCAGACTCCGCAACAGTCAAAACAGCCCTAGAAATCTTACCGTCTACAGTTCCTGTTGTTCCGCTAGACTGGTCAATATTGGAAGGTCTGGAATTGCTCACAGTATCACCATGAGCGATTTGAGCGGTTCCTGAAGGTGAAGTCTTCATTAAAGCAGCTTCTACTTGGGTGGTAGTCTTCTTAGGCTTACTGGCTCTATCGACACGAGAAGAGGACTTATGAATTAATGGAATAGATTTAGATATTGCATGAGCTGAAGGAGCACCGGCCAAACTTCGAGAGGTGATTTTTCTGTCGAGAGAGACAAAACCTGGTTGTGCAATGGAAAAAGGACTGTTTATGGAAGAAGAACGGAAATTCGACCTCATATTTTTAAAAAGGTGTTTTTTAACAGGACTAGTTCTGTCGGCAGCGGACAATTTACGACTTAATGGAACCATATGAGGTTGCGTTCGGTGCATTCTAAGAGGAACGTGTAAACCAAGCTGACCTCTAATTTGTCGGTGCTGCGTAATGGGATGTCTCAAAACTGTTTTTCTTAAACTGCGGTTGGAAAAAGAAGAACTGGGTGAAGCCAGAGCACGCGCGTGGCCGCTTCTTCTCGGTGCCACTTCGAAACCAGATCTACCAAAAATTTGACCATGTTTGGATCTAGTTAACCTTGCAGAGCTTGCCTTATTAACTAGAGGAAGGCGAATACTGGAAGTGTTGACTTTAATTAAATGGTTTCTAACAGAGCGTGCTCTGTTTTGTTTTCCTACAACCTGAGAAAACTTTTGAGGGTCAATTATTCTTTTCTGCCTGCTGCCATGAGTTATGCTCAGATGTAACGCTGGCGTCCGGATGTTATTTTTGGACGACTTCGTCAACTCCCTTCTTCCCGTAGCTACTTTAAGGAAAGGTGCCTTTCGAAACCTTGAAGAGCCAAAACTTATGGAAGGGCCATGATTCACTGCTGGGTTGATAAATCTAGATTTTAGTCGTTTACCGCGGGAATTTCGAATATTACCACTTCTCGGCGATGGAATTAAAAATCTTGTGTTTTGCCGGGGGACTATTTGGTGTCTGGAAAGTAAACGTGGTACTCGCTGTCCCCAAGATCTTCGGAGCTGTAAGCCTGGACCGACGTTGCGAAGTCGCATAATTCTTTCGCCTTCCCTTTTCGTATCTGAAATAGATATCAAAATATATAGGTATAGAAAGTAGACACGACTTGGGGGTGTTGAAAGTTGTCGCCCTGAACCACTTCCCCAAATCTAACCATCTGAATAAATAATAGAAATTTTTTGTAATTTATTCTTTTTTCTATCAATTCTTTTTAAATACACACAGGCGCGCACGCGCGCGCGAGCGCACACACACACACACACACACACACACACACACACACACACACATATGAATAAAGACAAAAGGAAAACTTATATTAGCCGACGCATTTTGTCCTTTAACGGACATTATCAAGGCAAATGTGAAGATTTTATTTTGCAACAAGTATTTATAAACAAAATTAAGATAAGTTTCCTTTTGTCTTTATTCATATTGTCCTTTTACATATATATTGTAGTTATATCTGTTTTTTACACACGCACACGCACACACACACACACACACACACACACACACACACACAAAGAAGAAAAATCAACATAAAACCAATAAAATTAAATTCGCACAAAAACCCCTGTGGAAGGTATGAATTCACCCATCTCAGTAGAAACTAGTGTGAAACAATGAGACCTCTTAGCACCTACACTTTTCGTAATTTTTTTTACAGTAGTTTTTCTTGAAATCAATGTTGGTATTTATATCCGCTACAGGACAACCATTATTATTTCCTTGTATTAAATAACCTGCAAAGGGTTGATAAGCCGTAGAAAACGAATCAATCAATCAATTTCCCATCTCCAGCCTATCGTTGCGGAACCTGGACAACCTCTAGCAGGCATCGACAGCGTCTGGAAATGTTTCCACAAAAACGCTTGCGTCAGATGCTGAAAATATCACGGAGATCGAAAATAACCGTTGTTCGAATATTGTGTCCATGGTTATAAAGAACGTTTAAGGGACAGCCGACTTCCAAAACAAGCATTGTACGGTGAATTGGCGGAAGGCAAACGTCTGCATTGCAAGCCGTGTATGCGCTACATAAATTGTCATAAGTACATACTCAAGATCTTCCCAAACGCCGGCGTCAATGTTGATTAAACATGGACACCGGTGTTTGGGAAGATCTTGCGTCTAAAACGTCTACTTGGAAGACACTGTTGACAATTGATATTAATAACTTTGAGAAATGCACGATTGAATACCGAAAGCTAAAACTGGTTGCTCGCTATATGGAGAACGTAAGCCTCTTTGTGGAGGGAACGTTAAACAATACCAAATACGTCCAGAAAACGTATTCTGCTGCGATTACTGTAACAGGATTGATTGCTTGATTTTTGTTTTTTTTACGGCTTATCGGCAATTTGTGGGTCATTTAAAGCCGAATTATATCTTCGGATTGTATATAATTCTTTTTTTTTTTTTACGAGTGAATGTTGTATTAAGATTTTTTTTTGTTTTGAGAATAAGGAAATTTTTTCTAAATACAATTTCTACTATTTAACCCGTAGCTGGGATGGGGAAGAAATGTATTCATACCTTTCCCAAGGTTATTTGCGCGTAAGCGAATGTAAAATTTCAACTATGCCTTTCTGATTCTAAGCACAAGTCCATTTTGTTTCCATTTTCCTTAAAACTTGTTACTCAAACTTCCTTGTTACTTCCTTGTTAATCAAATATTCTCAGAGTAATTTTCAGCTTTAGACAAGTGCAGATATATCAGCGCAGAAAGTTCAAATTTCGATCTAATCTGTAGTATTCACTTTTACACATATGACCTTAAGAAAGACATGAATCCTTCCCTTCTTCCCTCTGCTAGACGGAAGATTGCGATTTACGTTGCATTTAAATTTTTAAAGATTGTAGTTGGCAGGGAAGTAAGAAATCAGAAAGGAGTTCCACATGTGAGAAGTGCGAGAAAATAGTTAGAATATAAGTGGTGGTTGCATCTTGCTAGTTCAATAGTAAAATGGTTGGACTTGGTTATCAATCTAGTAACACGCTTAAATTCATGTAGTCGAAGCACTAGGGAAAAAAAAAGCTTATCAGAATAGGCCAAAAATCAAGGATCAACTCGTACAAAAATCAAATTGTATTTACGTTGTCTAAAATTACAAACAACGATTCATCCATAAACTTACATATCCAAATACTGATAGAGATATACATATAGGCATTTAAAACAACATGCCTGGCCACATACACAATTCCGGCAAATCCTCGTTGAAAACACAGCTACACTTAAACATGAAAACAATAAACAAAAACTAAAAATTCTTGAAGCTATATACATAAAACAGTTGAAACCTAACCTGAACAAAATAAACTATGAAATCTCCGCAAATATCCTTAAATGTCTATAATTGGTAACAGAAACCATTGGTTTATACCAACGGCTTCACATACTTAATACTTCTCGTTTTCACACTCGCGTGGTCATGTGTGACGTCATGAGCTGCGGTGCGATTTTCACTTCCAGCGTCTTGTATGAACGAGATTGTCGTTGCTTGGAAATCTTCCATGTAAACATAAACAGACTATTATTATTGTTTTGTCCGTGTATTTTTTAATATATTGTAATGTAATTGTCATCTTTGATAATGGCTTATGTAAGCCGAAAGCTTAGATAGGATTAAAAAAATATATATCAATATTGTGATTTTCTTTCTTCTTTTAATGATAATGTTATTAAGCTTATCAGACGATATGAAAAGAATTTACATAAATAGACAAAACTTGTCTATATTATTTAGTGAAATGTGCATCAATATACGTATATACAGACCTGTATACGCTGAATGACTGACACATCTGACTAATAGCATTATTGCTGTTATTTACAAAGTGTCTTTGAAAATGTGTCGTCTGTTACAGAATGACTGACGCTTACATTGATATTCAATTAATACATTGACAGCCTTAAGATTTATACACAGACGCTGCAGTAAACATTACAAAGAATTTCGAAAAAAAAACGACTGGAAGTACACGTTTCTCTTGCAATTAGGCACATGACAGAGACATAATTAAATTTTTCTGTTTTTGTAAAAAGACTTCTTTGTTAATCATTTTCTCGCAAATCATTTACAGAGGCCATTAATAAAAAGAAAGTTAATCAAGAACTGAGTCAACTGGCGTTTTGTGTAAAAGCAAAAGCGAAAATTAAGAAATAAATTGAAAATTAAAGGTATTATTTTTTTTCTTGGGTGGACGTGATTTCAACCAGTCGATTGAAAAATCGGACAATGTCGTTCGACATTAACAAGAGGTCATTTGCATCAGCCATTTCTAAAGGTGATTGAAAAATTCAATCAATTAGTCATATTTTATTTTTAGACACAGTTATTTTTTTGTTCGATTCAAACATTTTTTTCCACCGGTTAAGAAATCTTCAACGATAAAATGTTATTAATTACATAGGATTTAATTACTAGATGTCGGAATTGACACACCTGCTAAAGTTTTATTCACAATAATTCGAAAATGTTATGATGCACTATTGAGACCTTGAGACCTAATTGCCAATCTAGTATTACGCTTAAATTCTTGTTGACGAGGTACCAAGGAGGTGAGCCTGTTAGAACAGTTGCCGTTAAAATATTTATGGAAAAGACGGCGGTGGGAAAATGACTGAACTCGAGATGCCAGGTTATAACACCTATAACATTATAGACACTTCTTTCGATTTTGTCAAGAATCTCGAGATATATGTACCATACTACTTTTACTACTGCTACTACTATTACTATTACTACAACAACAACAAAATGATTAAAAGATAGCAGCTTCGTTTTGGAGTTAATGATTCTTCGTCTGAGTAAATCATATTCACTTCTTTTAGAATAGCGTTTTAGAGATCCAAATTTCAAATCAAAATTCCAGATCAAAATTCCAGATCAAAATTCCAGATTAAAATACCTGATCAAAAAGTTCACAAAGATCTACATATATTAAACGAAAAATTTAGCTCTTGAGCCTGGGAAAATATACGAATTACTCTTTTTACATTCTGTTGATATTTCTTAAAAAAAAAAAACAACTAGAAAGGGAATATGAAGTTTTCCCTTTATATGATATTTTTTGAAATCATTTCTCCCCAAACAAGGCAATAAAGCCACTAAGATACAAGGGGTTACTGAGTGTGAAAGAATAAGAAAGAAAAAAAAAGAAAAAAAGAGAAGCATTATTAAGGAGCGAGAACAATAGAAGGGTAATTTAGAAAACAGTAGATAACGATTGACATTTCATTTAAATGTTTGAAGATCAAACATGGTTGGAAAGTATGGAGCCAGAACAGAGTTCCACACGCGAGAAGTGCGAGAAAATAAAATGTTAGCATAGAATTTACGGTTAT